CCAGATAAAGGTAGCTGGTGGCCAACTCAGGGCATGTCCTTTCTTAGGGTTTTTTCTTAAAACTTTATGACCTAAGGTTATATTGCCACAAAAGATATGAAAAGTTCCTAGTCATTTTACTTACTTAAGTGACATTGCCTTAGTTGAAACTTTATCATCTCTATACTGGTTTATTTCAGTAGCATTTTTCATTTGTTTATTCATTTATTCATCAAACATTTATTGAGTAGACAGCATGTGCCTTGTGCCAGGCAGAGCTATAAAAGACATAGTCTCTTTGCTCAGGAAGCTCCCAGACTGATGAGGGGGCAGCAGTAAGATGGGCACCCACAAAGAAAGGGTTTTCTGCGAAGGTAACATAAGATCTGAATTATAAGAGATAGTCAAGAATCTTCCAGGTGAAGAAATTGGGATAGAGTATTCCAAGTGAAAGGGACAACATGTGAGAAGGTGTTTTAAAGTAGGAGAGTACATGTGAGACCTGTAATTCTTCAGTTGAATGAATAGAGATCTGTTTCAGGCTATTACTGTTATTCATCTCTATTATTTCGAAACATTTTTTAAGCTCAAGAAGGAATGTGATACTTTTTAAATCACAATTTAAATTCTGTTTAAAATGTTAATTTAATAAATAAATAAAGTGTTAATTTATTTAACTCACAAGAAATGATCGGCAAAATGGACCCTTAAAAGGGAATCCTTAAAAAAATAAATAAATAAAGGGAATCCTTGCAACTGAAGGTATTCATATAGAAACCAGAAGATTATCCAGACTTGCTATTTTGGGGACATCTTAAGATCCCTAATAAGATGGGTGCCTGAGTGGCTCAGTTGGTTAAGTGCCCATCTTTGGCCCAGGTCATGATCCCAGGGTCCCTTGGATCAAGTCCCGCGTCGGGCTCGCTGCTCGTGTGTGCTCTCTCTCTCATGCTCTCTTTCTCAAATAAATAAATAAAATCTTAAAAAAAAAAAGACCCCGATAAGATACAGTTCTATAACTTTTGTCCTCTCAATATTTTGTTATTTTATAAGTTAATTCCTATCTTTTTCCCCTAGCTATAACCCTCTCTTTCACCTCTCCTTCAAAACCATTCTCTTGAGAAATTGGTTTACATATAACTATCTCTACTTCCTCACTGTTTATTAGTCTAACATAATACAGGAAAGTGTGTAAATCATACATGCGTATTTCAGAGAATTTTTACAAAGTGAACACATCTGTAAATACCCCCAAGATTAAGAAAATAAACATTACCAGGACTCCAGAATCCCCTTTTGTGCCCCCTCCCAGTCACTCCCTCCATCCCCTAACAATCATTACTCCTACCCCACCCGGTAAAAGTAACAGATGTCTTCCTGACATCTATTACCGTCAGTTAGCTTTGCTTGTTTTTAAACTGTATTGTAAAAATGAAATCATACATATGTTCTCTTAGGTCTGGCTGCTTTTATTTTGTTCAGTATTGTGTTTTTGAGATTCATCCATGTTGTAACAGTAGATCATTCATTCTCATTTCTGTATAAAAGTTCATTGTTTGAGGGGCGCCTGGGTGGCTTAGGCATTAAGCGTCTGCCTTTGGCTCAGGTCATGATCCAAGGATCCTGGGATCCAGCCCCGCATCGGGCTCCCTGCTCCGTGGGAAACCTGTTCTCCTTCTCCCGCTCCCCCTGCTTGTGTTCCCTCTCTCGCTATCTGTCTCTCTGTCAAATAAATAAATAAAACCTTCAAAAATAAATTAAAAAATATAAATTCTTAAAAAAAAGTTCATTGTTTGACTATACCACACTTTATGTATTCTACTATTGCTGGATGTTTGGCTTGTATATAGTTTGGGCTTTTAAGAATACTGCTGTTGGAACATTCTGGTATATGTCTTTTAATGCACATATTTCTTTTCTGTCCCATAGACTTCATCCTGTCAAGCCCTTTTGATGATTAGTATCAGCACAATTTATTGAGTGTGGCTTATGTGCTTTTTATATACATCAAATAATTTAATCCATAAAAACTCTGTGAAGAGAGTAGGGTTTCTAAAAAAAGATTTACTTATTTATTTGAGAGAGAGTGTGGAGGGAGGGGAGAAGGAGAGAGAATCCTCAAGCAGACTCCATGCTGAGTGGGGAGCTCAGCGTGGGGCTTGATTCCAGGACCCCAAGGTCATGACCTGAGCTGAAACCAGGAGTTGGACACCCAACTGACTGAGCCACCCAGGCACGCCAAGGAGGGTAGTTTTATCCCAATTTTATATATGAGACAAGTAAGACTTAGATGATCTTATATAAGGTTACACAGCTAGTAAATCATAGAGAGGTTGAGCCAGGATTAGAACTCAAGACTATCTGACTTCAAAGCCTGTACCCATAACCATTATTCTCTCCTGTACCACAATTATCATTCTCAACAGCAACCCCTCATTTGGTCTCCCTTTCTATAGTCCTGCTTCCTCTAATTCATGTCACTCCTTTATTTTAAATCCTTCAATGGCTCCCCCTTGCCTGGAACTTGAAAAAGTCGGAGTTTCTTACTGTGAAATACTGTGTCCCCCCGATCTGACTCTTACCATTCTCTTCTGTTTTGTATCTCCCCTCCTCACCTCTGTGTTCCAGCTGTGCTCACCTATATGTCACAACTGAGACATGTTCTCTTATACCCTGTGCCTTTTTATTTATTCCCTCTTCTGTTTTGCCTGGCTAACTCTTGTTTGTCCATGAAGACGCGGCTTAGGTCTCCCAAACATTCTCTTGAGAAACATTTCCTAAATGCCTCTTCTCCCCCGTCCATTTTGGTGCACCTCCTCTGTGCTCCTAGAACACCCTCATCATAGCACTCTCACACATTACTATAATTATCATTTTCACACTTAGAACAAAAAATCAGTTGTTCACTCTTCACCTCTTCCATTAGACCGACAGCTCATTGAGGACAAGTACGATTTTTAAATCCTTTTTTGAAACTTCAGTGCCTAGCACATGGGGTTACTCCTCAAATATTTGTTGGCTAAATAAAATGCTGTGAATTGAATCATTTAAATTGAGCATAAAAGTACCTATTCTTGTACACATTGATTTTTATTATCTTGTACACATTGTTTTTTATTTGGATTTGGAGGTCTAGGTACTGAAGCAATAATAATTTGTTCTATAACGTCACTAATACCTTGGAGTCACATGTGATTGACACAAATCTGGGCTTGCCCTCCTTATGTCAAATTGGTGGGAATTCTAGCTCCAGAGTCATAGAATGGCTGAAAAATCCCTGTAAGAAACTTGGCAGCTTCAGCTTACCTTGGGAGATTTCTCTAAAAAAATAGTGGAAAATATAGAGTTGCCTCATTATGGTGAGAGATGTTTCATTCCAAAGTGGTAAAAAGTAGTCTTTGTTTAGAGTTCTGGGTTGCATGGTATAAATGACGATTCTCAGAGGTTCCACGAAACTTATTAATTGGACTTTTTGAAGTCTTCCTTTGCCTTTGGACCTGTAACAACTGAAAGTTCTTTAATCATAATGAGAAATGAGAGTTACTGCCTTTCTGACAGGGCTTAAACAAGTGTGTGCTTAGTTTTTATTCTAAGGAATAATTTTATATTAAGTGGTATATTTTTAACACATTTCTTAATCTTCTGTGTTAATTGTGGAGAAAGGGGACAGAAAAGGAAATTAATCCTCACTCTTGTGTTTATTGTCTGTTGTGATGACTACCTTTATAAAACAGTTAAAGTAGTATATAATCAAATATGAGGTTGTGGAATTCAAGTTCATTTCTTGGGCAGGGCAGATAGAATGGTAACCTTGTGCCTTTTGTCTTTGTTGATAGAGGGCGAGGAGGGGATACTTTACTCTAAATATCACTAAAATTCAGTTTTAAACCTTTTGGAGGAGGGTATGGAGAAGTATTGGAAGGAAGCAGGAGAGGGGCTCCTGGGTGCTGACAATGTTAAACTCATGTGTTCACTTTGATAAGTTATTGTCTATATACTTATGTTTTAGGTATGTTTCTGTATGTCTCATATCAGTAAAAATATTTTAAACAATTTAACTTAGAAATTTCTGTCTTCGAACATTTCCCAAGGAGCCTGCAAAAGATGTTAATGGTGAGGCTCTTTCCAAGTGCCATTATTTTTCATGGTCCACCATGAATTGAAGAATCCTGCCCTAATGATGTGTAGACTCTAAGTGGGGTTGGAGAACAGTAAAAGGAGAGATTAGCGTGGGCAAGAGTAGTCAGGGAAAACAACATAATCACTCATCCAGTAAATATTTTTTTTTTTTAAAGATTTTATTTATTTATTTGAGAGAGAGAGAATGAGAGAGAACACATGAGAGGGGGGAGGGTCAGAGGGAGAAGCAGGCTCTCCGCCGAGCAGGGAGCCCGATGCTGGACTCGATCCCGGGACTCCGGGATCATGACCTGAGCCGAAGGCAGTCGCTTAACCAACTGAGCCACCCAGGCACCCTCATCCAGTAAATATTAACTGAGCATGAACCATGTACCAGATGCTGTGTTGACATAGAAAACTTAAATGAGATTGGAGGTCAGAGTTGGAGGGAAAAATAAGATATGGGTGACGTTAATTAATCCTGGTTATATCTCTACTACTCTTTACGGAATGATAAAAATAGCAAGTGCTTATTTAGCATTTCTTCTTTACTAAAAGCTTTACATGTATTAGCTCATTTAATCTTCACAATAAGTCTATGAGATAGGCCCTACTACTATACTAGTATCTCATTTTAATTTCCTCTAGTAGATGAGAAAACAGATCCAGAGATGCCTAAAATCACTCAGCTCGGAAGTAGTGGAGTTAGGATTCAGTCCTAACCGTCTGGCCCCCTATTTCTCTGCTCACTTTTACTATGCTGTGTGAAATTAATGCAGAGAATATCAGAAATATAGATTGACCTAGGGAATCTATTCGAAAATGCCCAGTAATCCTGCTCTGGCACTCTGTGCTTTGTGTGTTTTGGAGCTGTGTGTGAATGCCTTTTCTTCTTTTTACAGACATGGCTGGATTCTGCCAAAGAAATAAAAAAGCAAGTTCGTGGTAAGTGAATCTAGCCCTTCTTATAGTTCTTTCTTTCTTTTAGTAGGTCAGAGGATTTTCACCCATTTTCTGGCTATGAGTCACTTTAGAATCCTGGCTATGGCAGGTGGCTCTGAAATTGAGATAAAGCCTTCCCTTGGAAGGAGGAGATTCCATGATAGAAAGATACAACAGAGGTGGACACGATTGAGATGTAGGTCAGATCTTGATTTTTTTCTTTACAACTAGGCAAAATTGGAGAAGATTGGAATGGTTGAGAAAAACAAGTTTGAGAAGAACAAAGATGAGAAGAGAAAAAGGATATGGGAGTCAGTTCTCAAAGGGGTTTGCTGCCTGGTCCTGGTCCTTTTAAATTGTTCTGGACTGTTGCATTCTAACCTTCTTCATGTTTTCTTCTCTGTAGTTCTTTTTGTCCATTTTCAACAATCTTCCAAACAGTTCTTCTGTTAGTAGAAAAATGAAATTTCCTTGCCAATGGCCCTCTGACATTGTGATTTTTCTCCTAACGCCAAGCCCTTTAGTATGTATTACTGTTGTACCCCTGCTCAGATGGCTCTCCTGAGATAAATATTTCTAGGTCGAATAAAGTGTATATTAGTATTTTGTAGCTCCAGGCCCAAAGGGCTAGCTAAGGGGTAGAGACTCTTTTTCTCTTGTTTACAACTAAATGTCTTTTTGGTTTATTTTTAAGGAAACTTTTAGGAACTGCAATAGAGGTTATTCATCATGGTTAGTAAGTTTTAACTATCACCTGAAAACAAATTTAGAAAACAATCTTTCTGTAGTGAAATGTTTTCTTTTAGACATATTTATAGTTTATATTCCTTGAGATAGAAAAACAAAATATTCCTTTGGACTGGCAACTCTCCATATTTGTTCTTTGCCTATAAAATGTTTTAAAATCCAAGTCAGAGCAAAAAAAAAAAAAAAGAATAAAATACAAGTAAGAGCAATACATTTTTGGAATATTTGAGGCATGACAAGAAAAACATAACTCCAAGTCCCTTTCAATGAAAATTCTTTTAATATTCAGTATTACTCAGGAACAAATGATTATACAAGAAGACTGGTTAGGAGGAAAAGTTAAAGCAGAATTTATGATGAGTGGAGAAGAATATCTAGTAGATTATATCTCTAGATATAATTATCTATATCTATATATATAGATATAATGATCTCTAGATAGAATTTCTAGCTATAGAAAAAAATCTTGCTAAGAAAAAGAACCAGTGTTTGTCATTTAAAAAAAAATTTACAAAATAATAAAAACCCTTCCTTTAACATGGGAAAGGAAAACCTTGTCTGTAGCACAAACTTAAATAGGGAATCAAAATGTAAACATTTCATTAAGCCAAAGAGAAGATCAACATTTATCTATTGCAAAGATTTTGTTTTTTAAAAAAAATATTTTTTGTCACACACGTAATATTTACCCATTGTGAAAAATTTAAACATTAGGGAAATATATCATAAAAAAAGTAAAAGGCCCCTAAATTCTATCATCTAGATACAATTACTGTTAAGTTGGTATAAGCTACAAGATTTTTTCTAGGCATATATAAGTTTTGCCTTTCAAAAATAGAATTATGCTGTATAGTATTCTTGTCCCCCCAAGTCCATAGGAGATACATTCCAGGTCCCCCAGTGGATGCCTGAAATTGTAGATAGTACCAAACCCTATATATACTGTGTTTTTTCTTATACATATGTGTCTTGATAAAGTTTAATTTATAAATTAGGCACAGTAAGAGATTAACAACAATAACTAATAATAAAATAGAACAATTATAACAGTATACTGTAATAAAAGTTATATGAGTGTGGTCTCTCTCTCAAAATATCTTATTGGACTGTACTCACCCTTCCTATGATAATGTGATGTGATGAAATGCCTATGTGATGAGACAAAGGGAGGTGAATGACACAGGCCTTGTGACCTAGACTTAGGCTACTATTGATCTTCTGACCGTATATCAGGAGGATCATCTGCTTCCAGATCATGGTTGACCATGGGAAAGTGAAACCATGGATAAGGGGGGACTGTTGTACATTGTTATGTATTATATTATCTATGCATTATGTATTATGCTATATATAGTTAAAAATTTGTTTAAATAGGTGATATAAATATGTGGAATAAAATTAAAAGATACAGATGAATCTAATGCAAGGTAAATCGCCCTTCTACCCCATCCTTTAATTCCTTGGGTTCTTTCCAGAGATGTTCTGAGTGGACATAGACATACACATATTTTAATATAAATATGTATTTAATACATATATGTTTTACATGCATATTATATTTTACTATGTACATTTACAGAAATATGTATTTAATAGGCATGTTTTATATGTATTTAATATAAATATGCAACCGATATTTTTATTTAACATAATTTGGAGTATTCTTCATATCAACACATATAAATTTGTTTAAAAATTTTCTTGATGACATAATTGTAGTACAATATATATAAGCAGTCATTTTGATGGCCATTTTGGGTTATTCTCAATAGTTTGCTATTACAAACAAGGTTGCAGTGAGCGTTTATATAAGTTCAAGTTCACTTATATAAGTGCATACATATATATGTTCCTGTAGGTAAGTTCCTAGAAGTAGAATAAAAAAATATAAACATCTAAAATTGAAATAGATATTCACTAGGAGGATTTTTTTCCATATTAAAAACATACAGAAAAGTATGGAGGCTAATGTAACAAATAACCCATGTACACATCACCCAGAATTAACATGTGTTAACATTTTAAATTTAAAATAGAACAGTACCGGTAAGTTTTATCTTTTTCGTTTTCCTCCTAGTCCTGTCCTCTTTTATCCCTAGCCATTGAAATCTATTTTCATGAATTTGGGTGATTCAGTCCATGTTTTTATTTTTTTCTTATATATCCATACCTATATACCATAGATAGTATTGCTTTGTCTGTTTTTCTGAAATTTCCCTCAGACCCATTTATTCATTTGAACCTCTTTTGGAGGTTTATCAATCTCTCTCTTTCCTCCCAGCTTAATTCCCTTGGTTGTGAATAAGAGAGATCTCCCCTACTCAATGTGGCTATCCATGTCTACCCCTTTCTGTAATAGTGCAGAGCAAAAGCAAGAAGTCCTTATACCTTCAAAAAAGGAAGGGAAAGGAGGGAGGGAGGGAGGAAGAAAGGAAGGAAGGAAGGAAGAAAGGAATCCTTATACCTTCTATATATACCGAACAATACAGATATATAACATACACAAATTATGTTTAAAAAATTCTCTAGTCCAGGGCGCCTGGGTGGCTCAGTTGGTTAAGCGACTGCCTTCGGCTCAGGTCATGATCCTGGAGTCCTGGGATCGAGTCCCGCATCGGGCTCCCTGCCAAGGAAGCTTCTGCTTCTCCCTCTCCCACTCCCCGTTTGTGTTCCCTCTCTCGCTGTGTCTTTCTCTGTCAAAAAAATAAATAAAATCTTTAAAAAAAAAAAAATTCTCTAGTCCAGGTGTACACCTTATAAATGTGTCTTCCTCTCCTTTCCCTGCAGGTGTCACAACTGTCCTGAATTTTATGTTAATGATTTCATTGTATTTTTAAGTAGTTTTTGTTACCTATGAACGTATACCTAAAAATATTGTTTTACCTTTTGAACATCATATAAATTTAATTATTTAATAGTTAATCATTTGTGATTTGGTTTTCTTACTCAACATGATTTTTGAAATTCATCTCAGTTGAAAAGAAAATTTCACAAAACAATTCTTAATCTTTACTATGAGGGATATCCTCTAATTTTTTTTGTTTGTTTGTATTCTGTTTCATTGTTTAAAATGCTGTTTTTGACCTACTAAACTGACTTCACAATGGATCATGATCCACAGTTTAAAAAAACACTTGATCGAGGATGTATATCTATAAGTGGAATTGCTAGATTATAGGGTATGTTTTACCAGATATTGCCAAATTGCTCTCTTTTACGTTGATTGTAACAGTTTACCTCCCCACCAGTAGCAGTAAATGAGAATTCCTAGTTTCCTGTGTCCTCAGAAGGCAGGAATTTTTTTCAATTATTAATTTAAAATATTTCTTGACATAATTTCAGACTTAACAGAAAATTGAAAGAATGCTACAAAGAATTCCTGAATATCCTTTACTCAGATTCCTCAAATGTTAATATTTTACTACATTTGCTTTTTCTTCTTTTCTCTTTATCTATACAGTCACACACACACATATACACAGAGGTTTTTTTTCTAACCATTTTAAAGTTGCATCATAGCAACATTATTCACAATAAACAAAAGAGAGAAACAACCCAATGTCCATCAACCCAATGCCCATTACCCAATAATGGGTAAGCAAAATGTGATATATACATACAGTGGAATATTAATCAGCCTTAAAAAGGAAAGAAATAATGATACATGCTACTGTATAGATGAACAGTGAAAACATTATGCTAAGTGAAAGTAGCCAAATGTTTAAGGTCATATATGATTCTATTTATATGATATCCAGAATATGTAGATCCACAGAAATAAAACAGATTAGTGGTTGCCAAGTGTTGGAGGTGGTGGGGGTACGGACAGCGAGGGAGTGACTGCTTAATGGATACAGAGTTTCCTTTGGGAGTGGTGAAAAGGTTTTGGAAAAAAAGAAAGAAAGAAAAGGTTTTGAAACTAGATAGTGATGATGGTTGTACAGCATTATGAATGTACTAAATGCCACTGAATTGTACACTAAATATACTGAATCGTATACTTTAAAATGGTTAATATTATGTGAATTTCACTTCAATAAAAAAGAAAATAAGTTGCAGTCATGATATCTCCCTACCCCTAAAATATCCTAAAAACTAGGAATTTTCTTATATAGCTATAATACAGTTATTAAAAGAAGGAAATTAACATTGAAGCAATACTGTAACCTACAGATCTAATCAGTTGTTCCAGTAATATTCTTTATAGCAAAAGAAAATCTCCAGTGATGTTTTGCATTTAGTTGGCACATCTCTTTAGTTTTTTTGATTTGGAACAGTTCCTGAGTCTTTAAAGTATTTTATAACATTGAAAGTTTTGAAGAGTCCAGCCTCATTATTTTATAAGTGGTCACTTTGAGGATGTCTGATATTTCTTCATGGCACATGAATCTTCAGGTTATGCACTTTGGTGGGAATGTCATTGAAGTGTTGCTGAGTTAGAGGCCAGAATTTTTTTTTTTAAAGTAAACATTTTTTGTTTTAAGATTTTATTTATTTATTTGTCAGAGAGAGAGAGAGCATGCACAAGCAAGGGAACGGCAGGCAAAGGGAGAAGCAGGTTCCCTCCTGAGCAAGGAGCCCAATGTGGGACTCGATCCCAGGACCCTGGGATCATGACCTGAGCCGAAGGCAGACGCTTAACTGACTGAGCCACCCAGGCATCCCAAGAGGGCAGAAATTTTATTTATTTTTTATTTTTTAAATTTTTTTAAAGATTTTTATTTATTTGACAGAGGAGACACAGCGAGAGAGGGAACACAAGCAGGGGGAGTGGGAGAGGGAGAAGCAGGCTTCCCGCTGAGCAGGGAGCCTGATGTGGGGCTTGATCCCAGGACCCTGGGATCATGACCTGAGCTGAAGGCAGACACTTAACGACAGAGCCACCCAGGCGCCCCAAGAAGGCAGAAATTTTAATGTTAAGATTTTTTAGAGCTTTTCCAGCCACTTTTTTTTCTCCCTGACTAAATATTCTCCATAAGGTATTACTAATTATATGTATCCTATTCTAGAGACCGTCACTAACTAAAGCTTAACTTTAAAATTTTTTTAATTCCAAGTGATTAACTTTTTTAGTCTCTATTGCATTGAACCCTGAGCTAGCTTGCAGTGAACCTGAATATCTTCACTAGCAACATGCCAAAACTTGTATCTCTTACATGGAAAAGAATAGGAACTGAAAATTTGGGTTCCTCTTCTTAAAATTGCTATTAACAAAAGTAAAAGTTAATAATTGGGACATTTCTGTTTAGATGCGGTTATTTCTAATACAGTTAAACTTCCTTGTTTTGGGTTAAATGGAGAGAAAAATTGAACCAGAATACAGGGGTTTTTTGGATTGTTTTCATTTGATTAGGTGTAGTAACATAAGGTCATTGGTGGATCTGGATTAATGGATAGTTTTAATATATTAGTACCTTTTTTTTTCCCCCTGGAGCTGTAGCATCCTCATATGACCTTCACAACAATGCTGTGAGATCAGTTACTTTATTTCATTCATTCACTCAACAAATATTTCTTGAGGATCTATGATCTACCAAGCATTGTTTTGGACACTAGGGATACACACCAAATAAAACAGAAAAAAAGTTTTTATGCTCAGTAATTTGCATTTTAGTGGGAGGAGACAAAGATTATCCTTTAAAAAAGTTACATGTTTATATCTAATAAGTAGTATATGTACAAAATTCAAATGGTATAAAAGCGTATACAGTGAAAATAGGTCTCCATCCTATTTTCCCCATCTTCATTTTCCTCTCTAAAAGTTCCCCTTCCTAGCTTCCTAACAACTATAACTGGTTTAGTATATATCCTTACAGGGATTGTCTATGCATATATAATCATACCCTAACATATACTTCTTTCATGGTTGCTTTTTTAAAATTTAAATTTTAGTTTTTGAAAAATTTTTATTTATTTGAGAGAGAGAGGGAGCACAAGCTAGGGGAGGGGCACTCCGGAGGGAGAGGGAGAGAATCCCAAGCAGACTCCATGCTGAGCGAGAGCTTGATGAGGAGCTCCATCTCACGACCCTGAGATCATGACCTGAGCCGAAACCAAGAGTCGGGCATTTAAGCGACTGAGCCACCCAGGTGCCCCTTATGGTTGCTTTCTCTGTGCAGTGTTCTTGACCTTGATAGTTTTTTCACCTAACACTATATCTTGGAAATATATCTTCTCTTGCTAAATAAATATATATTTAGGTTGTCTCCAGACATTTGCTATTACAAACAATATCTTATGCATATACCATTCTGACCACGTTTAAGCATATGTTAGACACATTTATGGAAATAGAATTGGGAGGTGAAAGAATATATATGTTTTATGTTTTGAAAGATATGGTCAAATTGTTCTCCTTAGATATGGTTGTTGTATCAATTTATACTCATATCAACAATAGATAATTGTTTATTTTCCCCACCAATTCTGGGTGTTATCAAGCTATTTATATCAATTACTTAACACAGAGCTCAAAGAGAAAAAAATCCCTTTCAAACTCTCTTAAGTTTTTCTAAATAACTTTTTCTTTCTTTAATAAAAATCAAATTTTGGGCGCCTGGGTGGCTCAGTTGGTTAGGCGACTGCCTTCGGCTCAGGTCATGATCCTGGAGTCCCTGGATCGAGTCCCGCATCGAGCTCTCTGCTCGGCAGGGAGCCTGCTTCTCCCTCTGACCCTCCCCCCTCTCATGTGCTCTCTCTCTCTCTCTCTCTCT